ATTGAAAGGCTTTATTTTTTATTATTATATTTTTTTTTTCCTGTTGGCTTTCGCTTCGCTGCTTTCTGAATCGTCTGGCGGATTCGGTTCGGTCTACTGCGTCTTTGTTCAAATACAACTGAATGTCGAGCGGGAGCCGGGGCGGTAGGGAACTGGGGCCACAGGCTCGGGGCTCTGAGTTTGGGGTTTGGGCACGTGTTGAGCTGCAGTTTACTTTGGCGTTGCATACATTTTGAAAGTCAAGGTAAATATTAGATTTTTCGCTGTTTGCTGGCCGAAATGTGTGCGTGTGTGTGGATGTGTGGATGTGGGTGTGCCGTGTTGTGTATGTAGGTAAAACAAATATTAGCTTACAATTTGGGGGCTTACACAGTTAGCTGGGTCGACGAAAAGGCCTGCGGTAGCATTAAACATAACTTATGTGCGACGGCGACTCTATATGCAAAATAACAATTGTGTGTGTGTGTGTGTGGGCTTGGAATGCTTCTGGGTTTACAATCAGAAAGTTTGCTGGGAAGTAAAGAATGAAAGCTTTAACAATTAACTGAATGAAAGGGAATAATACACTGATTGTGTCGAGAAAGCCAAGTTTTGAAAGCAGTTGTTCAGTGAGAGCGTATACATGAGACAATACGATATCTTAGTTAGACTATATGTATCAGCTATAGTAATATACCTCTCTCTCACTCTATATCTCTGTATTTCTCCCTCTCAATCTCTTTCTGTCTTCTTCTCTAACTCTTTCTGTCTTTCTCACTATCTCTTTCTGTCTCCCTCTTTCTCTTTCTTTCTCTCTCTCTCTCTCTCTCTCTATCTCTCACTCTCCATTTCTCTCTCTCTCTCTTTCACTCTCCACCTCTCTCTCTCTCTCGTTTTTGTCCCCTCTCTTTCTTTCTCTCTATCTATCTTGCCCTATCTAGCACTCCCTTATCTATCTCTCTCTCACATTCTCTCTCTATCTGTATACCTCGCTCTTTCACTCGCATTACAAATCTCATAGATATTCTTTGCTTCAAATGTTCAACTTTGCTGACAGATCTGCATATTTCATTACCATTGCAGATGTCGCGAATATTTTATTTTATTTTTTTTTTTGGAAACTCTTAAAACTCTTTCATATCGTTACGTCGTTTTTTGTTTCAAAGCTTTGTTGCTTTTAATTAAAGCGCCAAATTAAAAATGTCGCATATGCCGAGGCGTGAGTGTGTGTGTGTGTGTGTGTTAAAACTTTTCTTGTAGTTACGCGTCAACCCCAACACTTCTACCTCTCGCCGTCCTCTCAAAAAAATAGCAGGGTTCACTCTGCCCCTTATCATGCAGTCAGACGCGCACATGTCCCACGTGTCACGTTAAATGTCAAGCAAACAAAAGGCCTGTCCCATATGAAAAGCTCGTGTACAAAAAGCTTTTTTTACGCCCATTAATTTTTGGCTGCCATTTTTTTTTTTTTTTTTTTTTTTTTTTTTTTTTTTTTTTTTTTTTTTTGTTTTT